AACAGAGGAGGGGGAAGTGTGGCCTCGTAAAGCCAAAAACAAGGGTGCCAATTGGGCAGTGGTGAGTGCAAGAAATGGACGCACAAAATTTATGGTGCCCAAGATTTGTTGTAAAGGAACTAAAGTGAGAGGAGAAGGAAGGTGGATGGCAGGGAGCACCGGAACAGAATGAGAGGCTAGGACTTTGTGTTCCAGATATAAAAAGGGAGATTGGGTCTGAACTTTTTCCAGGGTGACAATAAAGCCATAAGAAGCTAAAAGCTGAATGAGTTGGGGAAGGACAGTTTGTACTGTACCAGGAGGACCCAGGGCAGCTAGGAGAATGTCATCCATATAGTGATAAAGCAAAAAGTTAGGATAGGATTTGCTAAAAGGCAACAAGGCAGCGTCCACAAAAGCTTGACATATGGTGGGGCTGTTAAGCATGCCTTGGGGAAGAACAGTCCATTGATAGCGAGGAGTAGGTCGGGACATGTTCGTTGAGGCAAAGAAAAGGGTGTAAAGGAATGGTAAAAAAACAGTCTTTTAAATCAATAATTGCCAAATCATAGTCTTTGGGGATCATAGCGGACCCATGGGTTTAATTATTATGTTAATGAGGCGTAAATCATGAATAATTCTCCAGTTGCCTGATTTTTTCTTGACTACAAATACTGGGGTGTTATAAGGACTGGTAGTTGGTTCCAAATGGCCAGATTGTATTTGCTGATATACCAGTTTCTGCAATGCTTCCTGTTTTTCTAAAGTGAGTGGCCATTGGTCCACTCACACGGGGGTGTCAGAAAGGAGCGTAAGCTTCATGGGTGAAGGAGGCATTATTAGTCTTCCAGAGTTAACTTTGCATTAAATTGAGAGAGTAAGTCTCTGCCCCATAAATTTGTGTGAAGAGCGAGGACGACAGGTTTAAATTTAGCAGAAATGCCTTTTGTGATTCGTTGTGCAGTAAGCCAATTGTTACTGGAGCTTGCTTGTTGAAGTCCTCCCACTCCCCTGACTGCCGGTGAGGATTCGAGGGGCCAGTTAGAGGGCCATTCAGCTGTTCTTATGACTGAGACATCCGCACCAGAGTATACAAGACCAGAGAAGAGAATGCCATTGATTAAAAAAGGCATCACCAGTTTTTGGGGAGTAATTTGCTTTGTTAGTGCCAATAAATCAGAGGAAGAATTCCCAGAGTGAGGTGCATATGCAGCCTCTGGAATGGGTGATGCTGCACGTGGTAATAAAACCAAGCGTGCCACCGTATCCCCCTAGTTCATTGTGACAAGGAGATTGGTATAAAATTGGACTTTTAGGGTGTCTCTATACATGGGATCTATCATACCTGGAAGCACAAACACTCCTTGTTCCCGAGCAACAGGTGTGGGAAGGATTATTGCCTCCGTTTCCGGAGGCAAGGGTCCAGAATAAAGGGTTTCAGCAACCGTGAGTAGGTTAGGAAAAGTAACAGAAAGATCATAAGCCAATTTTAAATCAATGCCAGGAAAATATTGCGAAGCAGGAGTGAAGTCTGAAAAGGATGCAGCCTTTGGAGAGGGGTTAGCTGCAGACCCCTCTGTTAGTTTCCCCGATTGGACTGAGAAGAACGGCACTGATTGGCCCAATGAAAACCCTTTTTACATTTTGGGCACACAGTTTTGGGCTTGGCTCCGGGGATGGCAGCGGGTCGAGCCGCGCCACCTCCTGGGGCTCTGCATTGCTTTTTAAAATGACCAGGTTTTCCGCAATTGAAGCAAGTGCCTTGGGGTTGATTCCCCTTTTGGATTGCAGCTGCATGAGTGTCCATTTGAAAAGCATTGGTTCCCACAATGCGGCAGGCTTTAAGAAAGTCCGCTAGGGTGGCCGTGGGACTGGAAACAAGTGGTTTAAGAATGGACTGGCAGTCTGCATTTGCATGTTCATAAGCCAATTTTATGAGGATTTCATTTGCTGCATCTCTGTTTGAAATTTGACACTCAATGGCAACTTGCAGGCGATTCACAAAGTCTGCATAGGATTCAGTTGCAGTTTGGCGAATGGCAGAAAAAGATTGAATCGGGGTGCCAGACTCATCAACACGAGCCATGGCAGAAAGAACACAACTATTAATGATTGGAAATGCAAAGGGAGTAAAAGTTTGAGCCTGAGCATTAAGGGTAGCAAAATTGCCTTCTCCGAAGAGTTGTTCTGCTGTCCATTGTGAACCTGGGTGATTAGCTCTGCTTTGTGCCTCTCTTTTATATTCAGATTCAAAAACTACGTATTGCGTTCCGTTAAGAAGCATGTGGAACAGATCTTTCCAATCTTGAGGCAACATTCGATATGCACTAGCAATTGAATGTATCAGTCCTCTAGTATAGGGACTGGTTATGCCATAATCTTTTGTAGCCTTTTTCAATTCTCGGATCATAGCCAGGAGAAGTGCTTCCCAATCAACCACTATGCCTGCTGCAGTCTGTTGGTAAGTAACAGGGAACAACTCTGTCTCGGATAGTTCCGAAACACTTAAATCACCATTGTTCAAAACCTTTTGAAAAGCACCACGGATGATTCTGGGCCGGGAGACAGGCGGCAACGTGGCAGGAACAGGAGAGGCTGTTTGTTGTTTATCAGGATCCATAGAATTTGCAGGGGCAGAAGGAGGGTTAAAACCAGCTCCAGGGGGGCAAGGGAGTGGCCAACATAACAGACGGACTTTTGTACGGTGGAGGGTCTAATAAAGGCTGATGAGGCGAGTCAGCATGGGTTTGAATCAGGGTATAGGCAATTTTCCAAAGGCACAAAATCTCTGCTGGGGCTCTCGGAGACTGATGGAGGATGGCGCCGATTTTCCTCCATGTATCTACTTTTAAAGATCCAGACTCCGGATAGGATGAGCAGTTAGCCCATATGTAAGCAAGCAATTTAACAGCCTCAGATTTAGAAAGGTGATGGGTTAATTTCTGTTCCTGATCAGTAAGATATTTTTTCCTGCCAAGTAGCCTCAGCTCTTCCACATGCTGCTTTTGAGCGTGAGACATTCCACCCCCCATACTTACGAAGAGGAGTCAGTTGCCAGCAACTTCGTCGGGTGCACCAAGCCTATTCCAGGCGATAAGTAAAGGGTCGGCAGGGATCAGTGGATCACGTCGGGGTCACCAGATGTGGTGGTCTCCCATGGAGAATGAGACACGCATGCAGGTATCTCGGGATGGGAGCCCAGAGCTGACTCCAACACCCTCTTTTATTGTTACTATAGTTTTTACATCACACAGCATAATCAAAAGACGTGTATAGGGGTGATTACAAGGTATTGCATAACAGACACTCTCCAGATGCAAGGCTACACAGGTGTTCTCATCAGAGCCTGTCCAAATGGCTGATGAATGTATTCTGTGTCTGGAGCAGTCCGTTTGTTATCTCAAGGCCTTTGTGAAAGCATTTCTATGGGTATATTAGTGCAATTAATCCCACACAAGATGAATGCGTCAGTGCTTCTGGAGAGATAAGAAATGCTCAGTTATCTCCTTTTTGCTGTCCTTCGCTTCTTTCAAAACATGTATTCACCTCTGTTTTTTTTTGCTGTTGCTTTTTTTCAACCCTCCCCATTTTTAGGAGAAATAAAATGTGGTGAATATATATATATATATATATATATATATATATATATATATATATATATATATATATATATATATATATATATGTCATCTGTTCCTATAAAATGGACTGAAATTATTCACGGTTGGCATGATGAAAACAAAAATTTCAAGTATGGCATTGGAGCAGACCCACCAAATGCTGTTACTGGCCATTTCAGTCAGGTAGTACTTTTTCATATCTTTGCCATTTCTATGTTCACAGATATAAACCCACAAAAATGAATAAGATAAAAAAGTAGACTCCATTGAATCAAGTTCAAGTCCTTGACTGATCCTGAATCACTGAGCTAAGCCAGGCCTGGCTGCTGCACAGGAAAGCCATGACTTGAAGGTAGACTGGAAAATTGAGAAAACACCCCACAAAAAGATAATAGCACAATATGTGTGGTGCTGTGGCCATGAAAACCAAGCAACTGTGTCCTTACAATCACTAACTAATTCCATAAACATGAGCATCTGGGCTAAGAACCATAGTCCCAATGCATGTTAAGGAAAGGTAAAACTAGACTAGGTTAAAGTGTTGTACTTTTTTGTTTTTTGAATTCTGATATAGGATTGCAAACATACTAAATGTGTTATTTGTTATTCGCATTTAGTGCCTCAGATCTTGGCTTTCATGCAGCTAGGAAGGAAGAACTAACTTGCTGGTAATAGCAAGTTACTCGGCTTGCTTTGGATGTGATGGGGCACTTTAGAAAGAGATGGTTTATAAAGTTCAGGATGGAGCATTTTCATATTTTACATTTTAAATACATACATTTAAAGCACAGAGGATGAAGCCTCATTTGTTCTAATATTTATTTGCTTCTGCAAACTATAGAAATGAACACACTTTTTAATTCAGAGAAAGAAAATGATTGGAAATGTTCATTGTATACTCATTGTTATTGTGGTATCCCACTTCACTGGCTAGGAGCAGACAATTATATATAGTACATTTTCTTACATCCCTTATGCAATTTTCTTTACATGCCCCTATACAATCTGAATGTTTATTATCAATATTATGCTACTAGCATGTTAACCTGTGTGCATATTTTTGTATCTACAGATAGTTTGGTACAAAAGTTACCGTGTTGGTTGTGCTGCTGCCTATTGTCCTTCATCGGAGTACAGCTACTTCTATGTTTGTCAGTACTGCCCAGCGTATGTATCAACTATGATTTCCTTATTTGTCACATTTACAGCAAGTCTAATTAGAATGATTCTGATTGCCCTGGAAAAGAAAACAATGGGCTTAAATCAAATGTTGTTTACTATCTTACACTCAAACAAAATATAAAGCAGGGTATGATAAAAAGAACAAAATAAATGCGAATGTAGCAGTAAAATATCGCTACCCCTAGATCAGTGGTTCTCAACCTTTTTAATGCCGCGACCCCCGACCGGTCGTAAGTCGAGGATTTCTCAACCAGTCGTAAGTCGAAAACTACTCAACTGGTGCAGCACCGTTTGCAGAATGGGACTTTTGGCAGGCTCAGCAGGGCAGAGACAGCCTGGACAATTCCTATTGGCTTTTGAAAGCCAATAGAATTAGACTCTATTCAAGAGAGTCTATTCTATTGGCTTTCAAAAGCCAATAGAATAAAAGGGAGTAGCACAGCTAAGGAAAAGGGGAAAACATGGTGGACTGCGTTGTTTGGCGACCCCCGTGAAATGGTCGTTTGACCCCAAATGGGGTCCCAACCCACAAGTTGAGAACCACTGCCCTAGATAGACTTATACGTCAGCTAACTGCAATATTTTTTGCATGCTAATAATTCAAGTTTAGCCATTGTATGTGAGTTTTTGGAGAGGGCATTTGTTCAGTATAAGATATTGAAGATGAAACATATCAAGACACCAAGGATTACCTGAAATAGGGGTTCCAACAAAGAATTTCTAAGAGTTCTAAGCAATGGGCCTGAAGCATATGGACAAATCCTTTCTATGTAGGTAGTTTTTCTAAATCTGCCTTTGAAGTTGGCTGATGGTAGAATATGAAATTGAAGCAATGAAAAATCTCCCAGATCATTTACTGACCTTGCCACTTTGAAAGAATATAATTTCCTAACGCTATCCTCAAAAGTAATTTACTATGTTCCACTTGTGCTTCTACAAGAAGAATCCTTTTTGCTAAGAATGAACATGGCCTCATCCTGTCCCAAAGCCAGTGATGCTCTAGGATAGAATCCAAAATGGCACAGGTTTTCTTCAATAGTCTTCTCTAGTTGCTGTGGGCTGAAATGTTATCTAATAAAAAAAGTTTGAACTGCTAAAAAATACTGGTCTACAATAAGAAAATGGATCCAAGAAATAATAGACCAACCCATAGACTGGAAACCAGAGATTTCTTTGTTGGATATTTTAAATAGAAAATATAGTAAAGAAATATGGTACTTAATTTTACATATAATAACAGCGGCAAGAATAGCATATGCACAGTGCTGGAAAAATGAGAATATACCATCAGAGGAAGAAGTGATAAGGAAAATCATGGACTGTGCTGAGATGGACAAATTAACAAAAGAGATAAAAGAAAAGGAAGACGCAGAGTATTATATAATATGGAACAAGTTGTATGTCTGGTTGGAGACTAGAATTAATAGAGGAGAATAAATATGGAAAGGTCAAAAGTGAAAATATGTGTATAATAATATTAATATGAATTATTCTTAGTAAGAAGTAGAACATGAAGGTAAAAAAATGTAAATAAGAAATAACAGGGCTATAAGGACAAATATTCTAAAGAAGAATAAGGGGGAAATGTAAATATTAGATTACCGTTGTATAATTGCTGTAAAAAAAGAAGTATATGTACTCTATGACAGTACAATGCAAATCCCATCCTTTTTTTCTTGTGCCCTGATTAAACACAACATGTTAAGCCACAAAGTTGTGCTCTAACATCACTGTTCCTTCCTGCAGATGCTTTTAGCAAGCAATAGAATCAAAAATACTTAAATTTTCATAAGATTGGCTGACATACACAGTTATATTTCAGGAATATATCTTCCAATTATTTATCTGTATTGTTTCTGTGCTGGGTTATGAATAGATTTAAATCAAAACTGACTTTGGAATTTTTAAATAAAAGGCTATACAGGTAGTCCTCATTTAATTACCACAATTTGGACTAGCAACTCGGTCATTAAGCCAAGTGGTCCCAAAGGGGAATCTTGACTGTGTTACAGTGTCGATCTTACTTTCCTTTACTTTTACAGACCTGCAAAGTTGTAAAAGCAAGGATTGACCGCAACGTTAATTTTTTGTTGCCATCAAATTTTGCTATCTAAGTCAATCACTGAATGAAGACTACCTATATAATTCTGCAGACAATTTCCCTTCTGGGTTGGTCATGATGTGGTAGGATGTTATGATATTGCTTGGATATCTGTTTTTAATATAATACTGTTTCTTTAATTCGTGAAGCTGAACAGAGTCATTCTGGAATGGAGTAGCCAAGAAACTCTTTCAATTCATCCATCCATCCAGAAAATAAAAAAAAAATAGAAAGCTGTGGATGAATAGATATTTTCTTTCTCCTTCTAGACCTGGATGTAACCCAAGTATTGAATGCAGCCCCCAGAACACCAAATTACTACTTTTGATATGAGTGAAGAGACAAATTATTTACTACATGGACATATACAATATACAATATTAGATTTTACTTATTTTAATTTCCTTAATTTTTCATTGTTTTGTATTCATTTTGCTTACTTTTTCATTCATCTTATTCTTTTTAACTTGAGTGGCAATTCCAGGAACGGAACTGGAAATCTTCAATCTGCAGTCACATGTTTGTCACATGATCCCTCTCCAACTATGGGCAATACATGGGAAATAACCTGCAGAGAGACAACATGGATGATAGGCATAGAAGGCAGACTTGCATCCTCAAGCTATCATGGTATATGATTGGTGTTGAGTCCTTGGCGGGAAGCAGACACGAGAAGCAGTTGAAGTTCTCAGTTTCCTTTATTCAGCGTTCAGCTTACAAGTAGATGGCTTCAGCAGCTCCCAAAACCTCCCAGCTTCTTATATAGACGCTTCCCGGGTAAATGTGTTACTTTTCCCGCGCCAGCACCCACGCATGCACACGGCGCTGGCGACAGCCTGTCTGGTCCCGGGCAGCTTTGCACCTGCCCGGGACTGCCTGCAAACGCCCGAGCCGTTTGAAAGGCTCGGGACATAACACCCCTTTCCCCCGGGCTAAAACTACTACCAACATATAAACATTTATTTTATGCAGTGTTCTGCTTCTCAGTGCTCCTATCGTTACCTGGCTTTTGTTTAGCCAGCAATGTTATGTAATCCTCTAAGTATTTAGGAGACTTCTTTGCTCTCTGTGACCTTCTCAGCTCTGGGTTACTAGCATGAGTTCCCTGACTGGAGGGAGATGTGAGCCTGTTCTCCTTATTTTGCCTTGGTGCCTTCCAGGGACTGTGCCCCCATGCCTGGCCTGCTTGCTTGCCCACCGGGCTCGTCAGGCCAGGGCTTCTGTCACTTTGTGACCTGGTTGACCTGCCTAGCTGTAGACCCTCGGTCCCCTTGAAGTGATAGCCACTGCTGGGCGTCTCTGTTGAACCTCCTAGGTCCGTCCAAGACCTGTCAGGAGGCTGACCATTCCCTGAACCCCGTTCTGTGTCCGGGCTTGTGTGGGTTCCTGTACTTTCCCAAAACTCAGTTACTCCCTGATTTGGGCTAGAGGTGGTGTAGTCGGGACTTGGTTCCTCGACCACCTCCCTGTATGTTTGACCCCCTGTAGAATTTGGGGTAAGGTCAGGCCAACCTTGGGGATTGTGTGCCAGCTCTCTTGTGGGGAATGATTTGTTGGGATGCCCCCGGGTATCCTCCGTGACTGGAGTGCTGTGTGATGTGTGTGGAAGGTGAGTATGCCCCCGGTGTGACTCCCTGGCTGGAGTAGGCGTGAGTGCCTGTTGTGTGGGTAAGCTCCATGAATTCCTTTTCGGAGCAATTGCGGAACCCTGGGATGAGCCGTTTGTGGCTCCATCAGTGGAGATGGGCAGCAGCTCGTGCCCTTCCCTTTGCTCCAAAGGGTCCCCCTCCTCCCCTGGAAAAGACCCAGGAGTCTCATCTGAAAAGTCCCGCCTAGGGCGGAGTTGGTCGATGTGCCGATGCAGGACACGACCGTTGTCCAGGGCAACCTCGTAGGAGAGAGGACCTGTGACCCTGGAAATAGAAGCGGGGACCCAGGTATGACCAGGCCCGTAATTGTGAGCCCAAACCGGGGCACCCACCAGTAGTTGTCTAGGTGCCCTAGGATGTGAGGTAGATGAAGGCAGTCTGTCCGGATGCAACCGGTCAAGTTTAGTAGTAAGTTGACGCCCCCAGCGAAGTTCAGCTGGGCTTCTCCCTGTAGAAGTGGACGGTGTGGTGCGATAAGAAAGGAGAAGTCAGCCAACCTGTGATGCCAGTCCCCTAGGTGAGTCTTTTCAAGGAGTCCTTTGTGATGCCGCACCATCGTTCAGGCATACCGTTGGTGGACAGGGTGGAAGGGTGCAGACGTGGCATGACGAATCATGTTAGCCTGTAAGAAAGCTTGGAATTTGGAGGAAGTGAATTGAGGGCCGTTGTCAGACACGATGACATCTGGGAGCCCGTGTGCAGCAAAAATCCCCCTCAGTACCTGAATAGTCTTTGCAGTGGTGGTGGATGAGACAGATACAACCTCAAGCCATTTTGAATGGCTGTCAACAAGGACCAAGAAGAACTGGCCCTGAAAGGGCCCAGCGTAGTCAATGTGCACCCTAGACCATGGGGACTGCGCTTTCCTCCCATTTATACACAGGAGCTTGGGGCATCTCTGGGCGAGATCGTTGGCACAGGTGGCATGCATTGCACCTGAGCACCGCAATATCTTTATCTAAAGCAGGCCACCACAAGTGGCTGCGTGCAAGAGCCTTCATACGAACAATGCCAGGATGACCCTAGTGGAGGGATTCTAAGACCCTAGTCCTCATTGAGGTGGGAATGACAACTCTGTTTCCCCAAAGCAGACAACCCTGAGAAAGGGACAGTTCGTTTCTTTTGGACCAGAAACTCTGAAACTCAGGACTAGGGCAGTGCTCAGGCAACCCGGACAGGACCCAGGAGCGGACACGTGAAAGTGTGTGATCTGTACCCGTTTCAGCGGTAACATCCCTGGCACAAGAGGGAGTCGGGCACGGCTTGGATGATAGAAATGTTGACAAGCGGCGCAGGTCAGCTTCTACTACTGGCAGAGGCAACCTACTGAGGCCATCAGCATGCCCATTTCTTTCCCAGGCTTGTGGAGTAATGAAAAATCATATGCAGACAAAAAAATAGACCACCTAAGCATTCTAGGGGAAATGATGTGGGGAGTCTGCTTACGTGTGGTAAACAGTCCCAGCAGAGGCTTATGGTCAGTGAAGACCGTGAAATGCCTGCCATATAGAAAATCGTGGAATTTTTTAATTCCAGCAACAACAGCCAGAGCCTCCCTGTCTATATGAGCGTAGTTGCGCTCGGCAGAAGACAGTGTTCTGGAGTAGTATGCAATAGGAACCTGAGTCATCAGACCTGAGGTGGCTCAGGACAGCTCCTACCTGTAAGGGGACGCATCACCATTGAGATGCACACAGGAAAGAGATTCGTTGGAAATGCAAGTACAATGTTAGGGAAGTGAGCAAGGCCTTGACTTGTTCAAGGCAAGCATCATGTGTATGTGACCACTGCCACAATGCCTTGTTTGTCTAGTAGCCTGGAAGAGGCTCAGCTACACTAGCTTTATGTGAGAAAAGAATTGTAGAAATTCAGGAAGGCCAGGAAGGCCTGAAGGCGGCCTTGGACTTTGGCCTAGGGCTTCTAAATAGCCGTCAGTTTGGATTTTCAGCAGGGTGAATTCAGCAGAATCAATTTTGAACCCAGGAAATTCAGTAGAAGGCACACCCCCAATCTGCATTTGTCTTTTTGAGCTGAGGCCTGGACTTCCTGAATCTTAATAGGACAGCCCTTAGCCTTTCAGCTAGAATGTGTGGGGAGTCTCCTGCAATTAAGACATCATCAAAATAGGGGCAAACCCCTGGTATACCCCGTAGTGTGTTTTCCATTACGCTTTGGAAAATCCCAGGAGCGACATTCACTCCAAACTGCAGCCTTTTTACCTTAAAGGCTCCCCTGTGGGTCACAATAGTCTGAGCTATAGCAGCATCATCATCAACAGGCAGCTGTTGATATGCTTGAGCTAGGTCAAGCTTTGCAAAAACGCGCCCCCCTTTGAGGGAGGCCAGGATATGACTGACCACAGGAACAGGATAGGCATGTTGCTGCAATGCCTTATTCAGTGTGCATTTGTAGTCAGCACAAATGCGAATGTCCCCATTTGCCTTTAGAGGCGTGACAATGGGGGTCTCCCAAGGACTGGAATCAACAGGTTCTAGGATTCCCTGTTGAATCAGTTTGTCTAACTCAGTGTCAATTTTACTCTTTAAAGCAAAAGGGACCCTTCTTGCTTTAATTCTAATGGGAGTGACAGTGGGGTCTAGCTTTAAGGACACAGGGGGTCCTTTGAATGTGCCCAGCTGGGGGCTGAAAACATCTGCAAATTCTTTGCAGACTTCCTGTAGGTCGAGTGTTTGTAAGCTGTTGAGTCCTGTGACGTGTATCCCCAGGGCCTCAAACCAATCGAGTCCTATGAGACTCGTTCGTTCACCCCCTACTACTAATAAGTCTAGTGGACCTTCAAAACTCTTGTATTGCACGTTAAGGGTGGCTTCCCCCTTAACACACACTCTTGAATTTTGAAAATCTGTTAACACAATGTCAGAAGGCCTTAACTTGGCCTGAGTTCCACTACCGGAACAAATCTTCCTAAATGTATGCAAGGAGATAATTGAAAAGGCAGACCCTGTGTCTAGTTCCATAGATAATGGAACCCCTTGTAGCTTCACCTTGAGTGACAGCTTTTTCTTAATTGGCTTGTGTGTGCCTGTCCTAAGGATGCTTCTTCGCGAAGCGCAAAACCCTACCCTATTCTGGCTGGGGAATCTGGTACCTTTCAGGCGCGGTTCTTCCTGAGGTTGTACCTTTTGTCGGCCCAGACACACAGCTGCAATGTGTCCTTGTTTGCCGCATGCCCAGCAGGTAGCGGAGCGGAACTTGCAGTCGGTTGTCCTGTGGCGACCTCCACAGCCGATGCACTTGAGCGGAGCTGAAGAGCTTCCCTTCTGTTTTTCTTCCGTCGTGGGGTGGAGACGGTCGACTTCCTCGTCCGGATCCTCCTCGGAGTTCCTTTGGGCGTCTTCCTGGTGCACGGATGCAACCTCTGGACTGTTTCTGATCGGCCGCATGTTCTTGATAGCGCCGCCTGCTGCTTCTTCTGCGGTGACTTCCCTTAAGGCATCTTGGTAGGACAGTTCTTCTTTAGCGAAAAGTCTCTGTTGTAGATCTCGATGCCTTAACCCGCACACGAATCGGTCCCTCAGTCGTTCTTCGAGGTCTTTGAACTCGCAGTGCTTGGCGGCCTTCCGTAATGCGGTGATGAATTCTTTGGCCGACTCGCCGGGCCGTTGATCCCTCTGCTCGGAGGTGTGGCGCCATGCGATGACGGACATCTTGGGGTGGAAGTGCTCTTTCAGTAGCTTCTTCAGATCTGCGTAGCTGACAGACTCTACTGGAACAGGTGCTGCAAGGTTTTCTGCGATGTCGAAGGTGTCTTGACCGCAAACACAAAGCAGGGTGGCAGCCTTCAAGCTCTCTTCCCTCACTTGGTTTGCCTTGAAGTAGTTCTCCACCCTGGCTACGTATGACTCCCACCGCTCTGGATGTGAGACGTCGAATTCCGAAAGCCTTCCGATTTTTGCCATCTTTAGATCTTCAGGAGACGGGTCTATCAGCCAGCCTACCCCCGAATGCGCACCAGATTGGCGGGCAGCTGCCGAGTCGACGCCGTTCCTTTCCGCCGCTCAGGACTCCTTGGGTAAGCTTACACTTCTTCCTTTCCAGGTAGTGCAAGGCATCCCACCTTCGTCGCCAGTGTTGAGTCCTTGGCGGGAAGCAGACACGAGAAGCAGTTGAAGTTCTCAGTTTCCTTTATTCAGCGTTCAGCTTACAAGTAGATGGCTTCAGCAGCTCCCAAAACCTCCCAGCTTCTTATATAGACGCTTCCCGGGTAAATGTGTTACTTTTCCCATGCCAGCAGCCGCGCATGCGCACGGCGCTGGCGACAGCCTGTCTGGTCCCGGGCAGCTTTGCACCTGCCCGGGACTGCCTGCAAACGCCCGAGCCGTTTGCAAGGCTCGGGACATAACAATTGGCAGGAAAGGGGGAAATCTTTTCTGTATTGGTTAGAGAGAATTGAGAAAGATAGAGAGATGGGAGAAGGAGAATGTTTCGGAGGAGAAATGAAAGAGGGGAAGAAGGAAGACATTAGGAGGAAGTCAGAGTTTCCCTCAATTCTTTCTCTAACAAGCCAGAAAAATCCTTTTTTGCTCTCTCACAAAACTTGACAGGGTTTACTCCCTTTTGGAGAAGACTTCAGAAGTCAGGTCTTCCCCTCTGATGGTAGTGCTGTCTGCTCTCTCAAAACTGGAAACTCAAACCAGAGAAACCAAGACAATGCAACCAAAGTCAATTATCTATTGAAATGGCATGGGTGTTTCATCAATCACAAATGGAACAGTAATAATGTATGGCATTTCTGTTCATCTTTTTCATTCCAGAGGAAACATCATAGGTAAAACTGCTACTCCATATAAATCCGGGCCACCTTGTGGGGATTGTCCTTCCGCTTGTGACAATGGATTATTCAGTAAGTTTTTTTTAAAGTAAATTATTAAACCAACATTTTTAAAGGTCATGTCATGTCAGCAAAGAACAGATTTCATATGAGTAGCTAATCATCTCTAGGTAGAATAACAGGTTTAATGGAAGATAGCCAACTATCCAGTAAGATAGGCCTAGGCAAGACATCTGGATCAACACATACATGAAGCATGCTATCGTGGGATAACCAGACATCCAGAGTTGCCTCAATGGTGCTTCTATATGCTCCCACACTAGTGGTTGATGAACCCAGATAATTGAATCAGGGAAGACGAGGACGATATCAATCGATTTCAGCTTAGGAAGAACTTAAAATCCATACCAGCTTTTTCTTAGATTTTGTTCAGGACTATTGATGAAAATAATAATTCAGCAGCTGCATATAATCATTCTAATATATACTCTAAAATAATTACTCTAAGTACTATTTTCATTTTTAAAAATCTTCAGCTTTGAATCCACCCCTTAAGAAAAAAAATAACTTTGATGTTGAGCTCTAAAACAATGCATAAAATTGTAAAAGAGTCCCTAGCAAGCTGTACTTTTGGTGATGTCTCACTTTTATTTACGTTTTTCTCTTTTTAAAAATTTCAGCAAATCCTTGCACAAAAGAAGATAAGTACACGAATTGCAAAAGTTTGGTCCAACAAGCTGGCTGCCAGGATAAAAAGATGCAGTCAGACTGCTCTGCTATTTGCTTCTGCCAAAATAAAATAATATAGTGGGCTTCCCATTCAATATTTTTTATTTTTGCCGGAAATATCTTAAAATCATGGCATCTTTTAGTATCAGCAAATTCTTACTTGACATTTGATTTCATATACTTTGCATGAATGTCCTATGAATGTCTAAGGGAAACATCAGCAGGAGTAGAGGCTAGGGATGAAAACTGTAAGTTCAAAGGGTCTGTCAGAATCCAATTATATTTCATCTTTAAATTATCAAATATAGAAACTCCCAATTCTACCTTCTCTGGATTCTGCCATAAGAGGGAGAGAAGGGGGAGAACAAAGGGGCTTTATGGCCCTCACTTCCTTCTTTACACTTCAAAGAGCTGAATGCTGAATGTGTGTTTATTGTAACCTCGAAGCGTTAACATACCAAAGGAGGGAAGTTGCCTTTCATGTAGTTATCTGAAGTCTCCATCCAGACGGAAGAAAGAAGAAAGGGAGTGGAATTGTGATACTTGAAACTATCACTGGAAGGGGGGTTGATTGGGTGGGACTACTGGGGAACCCCTTAAAACCTTGAATGGGAGAGCTTGGACCCCAAGTCCTGTCTAGCATGCCTGCAATCATTTTCTCTTAATAAAGGATTCCTGTTGGAAGAATTATTCCAAGAGTTCTGTCTTCTTAAGATGCAAAGTGGGGTGGGTCCTTACAGGGTCACAGGAAAAATCACAAGCCTATGTAGCATCAAAAAAGGTTGATTAAAAGAAAATACTGAAGGCTTGAAAATAACATCACCAAAATTCTTTGAACTCCAACTATAGCACAAGGATTTCTTAAATGCTTATATTAAAACTAATCTAGAACTGATCTGATACCATTCATGCAAGATATATGCCAGGATTTGGTGTTTTTCATGTTTTAATTTGTTATGGTTCATAGTTTGATATGATTTTATATTATTTTTAATTTTTGATTGGGAGCCACCCAGAGTTGATCGAAAGATGGGCAGCTTTATAAATGTAATAAATAATTAAATAAGCAAACAAATAAATAAATTCTGTAGAAGAGCAAAATGCCTCATTGATTGGTCAATGTATTGTGTATATGTATCTATATGTCTGTTTGTGTGTTTGTAATTTGATATAACAATCATCTATCAAAATATTATAAAAAGGTAACCTTCATAAAGCAGTCTAATATCCCTGATGGCACTCTTAAACCAGACATTTTAAACAAAGTCTTCCTCAGTGCTGTGAATCTTCTGGATAATTTGTAGTAGTTTTTTAATTAAAACAAAAATAGTTACATAAAAAAACCCCACCTTGTAATGCAGAGTTTAAACATCACAAATTCAATATCATTTCGAAACAAACATGAAAGGTAAAATCACCCTGTTGTTAGACTTGGTGGTGGGATTCAGCCAGTTTGCACCAGTTCAGCAGAACCGGTAGCTAATTTTTTGTTGCCCAGACGCAGAATGGTCTTCCGGAAGTGGCATCCAAACAGAGAACCAGTTGTTCACATATTTGAATCCCACCACTGGTTAGACTCAACATCTAGTGACCGTGGAGCTATGTCTGTATGATTTGCTTGCCAGCATATGGAAATGGCCTTGTATTGCCACCTTCTATGTGTTTTTAATTTCCCAGTCTTGTTCAACCTAGCCCTAGAAGTTCTTCATGGCTTCCCACCCAACTACTAACCCAATCTGACTCTGTTAACCATCTCACTATGATTCCGTTTATGACTGAACTCTTTCTTCACTGAAAACAGAACTGCCAGTATGAAATTGCTCTGACACAAATCCATGGTGAGCACATTCTTGAAGTACTAGATACAATTTTTATTAAAAGGGGCATTACACAGCTTAAAAGATACAAAAAGTGTCAGCAAAACTCCTAAGAGATAGAGGTCTCCTGTGAGAAAAGATTTTATATACAGTATGTGTGTGTGTTTGTGTGCGCACACGGGGAGGGGGAAGAGTATATTCTCGAGTTTGTATAGCTACCTATCTCACAAATGTGACTCAATAGCTTAAACAATTAAATACAAATTAAAATAACAACATGGGATAAATGTATCAGCATTTGATATACAGTGTAACTATCTCATAAGATCCCCATTTCTTTGGGGTCCCCAGTGCTGCTGAAGAGGGATTTCATAAATGCCAGTAGGATTGGGGCTAATATCACCTCAGGGAGATTGACATTCCAAAGAACGGGTGCCAAAGCAGAAAAGGCCTTCCTTCTTAGCAGACAATATCCACAATACCCATAACATGCCTCTCCTACTAGGCCTCATGGGACCGGTATATGTAATTGGGGAAAGTCAGTCCCTCAAATAACCTGGGTTCATGCCTGTGGGATTTTAGAAATAAAGCCAGCATCTTCAATTGAACAAGAAAGCAAACCAGCAACCAATGCAGCTTGCAGAGCAAAGGTGTAACATGTGCCATTCTTGGGAGTACACGTACTGTAACTGCCTGCACCATCACATTTTGTACCAGTTGAAGCTTCCAGATGTTTCTTCAAGGGCAGCCTTTTCTGGAGTGCATTATAATAGTCCATTTGGTCAGCATTCAAAAGGTAATGAAAACACCACCCAGGAATGGGCACAACTGGCACACAACACAAAGCTGTGCAAAGTTCCTCCTATCCATGACTGCCACCTGCTCTTCAAGCAGGATCTATGCATCCCAAAAGGATTCCCCCCCCCCCCCAGATTGTGCACCATGTCTATTTGGGGCAGTGCTATCCCTCCATTAACAAAGATGGTAAAGTCCCAAATCTAGAAGGCCCTAAAACCCCCAACCACTCAGTCTTTCCAAGGTTGAGTTGAAGCCTATGGTTTCCCATTCAGATATACACAGCTTCCAGGCATTGACATAGGACATCAACAGCATTTCTTAGTTTGCCGGGGTAGAAATATATAATTCCCCCACAGCTTCATGTAGATGTTAAACAGGAATGGAGAAAGTACCAAACCCAGTGTCGTTCCACATAATAAAGGGACTCTCATTCCCAATCAATACCAACCAGTGTCTGCCCCGTAAAAAAGAAGAGAACCAGCACAATACAGTGCCACCCACTCCCAGACCACATAGCCATTCCAGAAAAATATCATAGTTAATGGTGTTGAGGATGGCCAAGAGATGAGATAGAGCCAAGATGAATACACTATCCCCATCCTGCCCCAACCAGAGATCATTCAAAAGCATGACCAATACCATTTCTATCTTTTTAAAAAAGTTTTATTGATTATTTTTAACAGAATTCAATGGTAATTATTCAATAAAACGTGTTGTCTGAATATCTTATTCACTAATACAAATTAAATTCCTAATCCCTAAATCTTTTCTCTAACCATTGATAAAATAGGTCCCAAGTTTGATAATATTCTGTTTCTTCTTTTTCTTTCAGTCTCATAGTCAGTCTATCCATCTCTGCGCATTCTAGTATTTTTTTTAATTATTTCTTCATCTGATGGTATTCTTTCATTTTTCCAGTATTGCGCAAATATAATTCTTGCCACTGTTGTGACATGAAAATCAAATATATGCTTTGTTTGTTAATCTTTTCTGGCATTATACCTAATTTAAAAAGTTCAGGTTTAAAATCTACATGTTCTCCCAACATCTTTTCTAGCCAGACATGTATCTTTTTCCAATAACTCTTTACTTTGTCACATGTCCACTAAACGTGATAATGAATGCCTGACTTATGTTTACATTTCCAACATCTATCTAACATGTTTTTGAACATTTTTGTTAGTCTTGCTGGTGACTAGTGCCATCTGTAAAACATTTTATATAATTTTTCTTTGTAGGAAGTTGACATTGTCAGTTTGTAATTTCTTTCCCATAAATTTTGCCATTTTTCTAATTCTATATTGTATCCAAAATGTTTTGCCCATCTTATCATTGTTTCTTTAACTTGTTCGCTTTCCATTTTCAAAGTAAATAGAAAATTATACATTTTCTTAATTAGTTTCTCATCAAAAGTTAGCAATGTCTTATCAAACACAGTTTGTTCCTTATAAAATCCATACAGTTTAATATCTTTATAATATCTAGCTTGCATTTGTAAATGTACCCACCATGATAAATTGATACCCTGATTTTCCCTTTCTTGTTTAGATTTAAAATTCCCTTCAGAGTTTAGAATATTTCTATATGTCCAGATTTTTTCAAAGTTCACTAAATTTAGGTGTACAAATGCTTCCATGATTGACAACTACCCTGGAATTTTCAAATATATTTTACATTTTATTTTTTCCCACGTTGTTAATAATGCATTTCTTACATATTGTTTTTGGAAATATTTATGAATTTTATTTTTCCCATACCATAAAAAAGTGTGCGACCCCAATTGTAAATCATGCCCCTCCGGATATAACAGCCTTTTATTTCTAAGAGTTATCCATTCTTTTACCCATGTTAATGCAGATGCTTGATAATATAAAACCCACTCTGGTAAACCAAGACCTCTATTTTCCTTGGCATCTTGTAACATTTTCATCTTAATTCTAGCTTTCTTTCCTTGCCAAATAAATTTCAAGATTAATAAATTTAAGCCTTCAAAGAATTTTTTTTCAAATTTTATAGGTATTGTTTGGAATAAGAATAAGGTTTTCAGATTTATACAAGAAGTTTTATAGATGGCACCTTCCCCCTACAAGGCTAGCAAAAATAGATAAAAAAAAGATTGGCATACGCCCAAAAATGGAAAGGAAAGAAACCCCCACTGAGGAAGAAATAATAAATAAAATTTTATCCTGCGCCAAAATGGACAGGTTAACTCTAGAGATGAAAAATAAAACTGAAACGGAGAATTATGAAATTTGGAAAAATTGTATGATTGGTTAGAGATAAGGAGGATCGCTGAGATGATTATCGATTGACTAGTTGATATTATAAGGACTTCTTATTAGTACCTATATTAGGACACAACTGAATGATATGTAAATACAACATTGATGATTGAAAGATGGTTTATCAAAAAATTTACAGATGTTATATGCACAGTTTGTTATACTCTGTCCTGTTATAGAATGTATTTTAAGTTTCTGTTTTTCTTTCTGTAACATAAGGTAATATTAATAGCAATGTTGAAGCCAGGGAAGTTGAATCATGTCCATTTTTGTTTTTAAAATGTACATTTAATAAAATTTGTTTTAAAAAAAAGGAATAAGATTTTCGGTAGTATGTTCATTTTCGCTGTAGCAATTCTTCCTAATA